ACATTTTTTCCTTTAAGTGTGAAGTATGGTAAGCGGGGGAAAATCCTCTGAGGCACTGTCACAACAAAATGGTAAAAATGTTCAAGATGGTGTACTGTATGTCAGGATAGTTAGTAGTTTTTTGTCTTGTATGTTGATCAAAAATGCCAATGCAATGCTGGTATCAACCTAGTATTTTGCATACATTAATTTCTCATTTTGATTCTAGAAAAGGAATGTCAGTTTTGAGGCCAAAATAAAATAAAAGAACCACAATTATCCTGAAATGGTGTCATCTATACACATATTTGAACTTAATTTACCCTTTCCTGTGCTTTGCATTTTCCTTGCTTGTATTACAGTAGAAAGAAGAATAGGAAGAATAGGCTTTCCATGGGTTTATTAGGCTAATTTGCAGCAGGATTAAGAGCACATGATCACACTTTAGCTGATTTAGCAACAGCTAGAGAAATATCTGTTTTTGGTGCTTATCCATTATATTGCTTATTTTTTTCATCAACAATCAATGTTAAGAAGAAAAAAAATCAACATTGAATTTTGACTGCTGTGATTGTTCATAAAAGTAAAAATGATAAACGATTTTGGAAGACAATTTAAATGTATTACCTCCAATAGGATTTTTGTTTGGCATATAAACTACTTGGGAATTGTGTAAATTGATTTCCTTTGAACCTTAGCTCAGAAAAAAATGATCACAACCTTTCTGAAGAAGTGCAATCTGAACCTTCAAATGTCAAAATGTACTCAGTTACACACCTCTCGATAAATTAGAATTATTGATTAATTAGAAAAAAGAATAAAAAAGGTTGGAATCTTTGATATACAGTACTGTATTGTATCAGTTCAGTATACATTTAAAATAAACTATTGGTCTGAGAGTTAGTAACCAAAAAGGAAAAGGAAAGTCTGTTAGCTGATTTTGAAAGGAGTGAAGGAGGATTATAAACCTGTCAGGTTTCTTCAGATGAAGAAGAACATTAGAAGACTTGAACATCCACCAAAATCTTCTGACCTTAACTCAGTGCACATGTTGAATAAGTCACCACCAAAAAACAAGGATGATTTGAAACACATGGCTGAGGAAACTTGGCAGGTCTTCCTGCCTTGTTAAAAAAATAAATGCATTGATGCAAACCAGGCTTATTTATACCTATTTATCTGATTGTATTGAAACAGTGCTCTAAAGTAGTTTATAGTAACATCAATTTACTAAAACAAAAACAAGCAAAAGGTGCCCTTTTATAAATAGTTTTTAGGGTTATGTTTAAAAACCTGGTCGGTGCATCATTTGTTACAGTGTAAAGTAGATCAATACTATACATTTAGTATTTTTTTCCTGAAAAGTCACTGCTACAGTATAATATGCAAGGTAAAAAAAACTCAAAGGACCTGCCTGCAGTCTTAAAACATGTAGCTCAGTGGTAGACTTCCTATAAAACAAGATGTGTGTAATGAACTGAAACCACTTAGTGTGTTCTGTGCCCTGGGCCTTTCATGGGGACTCTACTGGCAAATGATAGCAGACAAAACATCACAAAACATCTCATAGAATCAGATTCATGCACTGTAGTTGTTACAGAGGCTATGAATAGAGAAGGTCATTCAGTAAAATCCCATCTGCAGAAATAGAGCTACAAGACAAGAGGAATTCTTTTAAACCATTTTATTTTATGAATGTGACACAGCATATAAGTGAGGCTATATCATGAAGTACAGTAATTGCATGAGGGGGAGGTTAACAGTAAAACTACACAGTAGAGAGGCTATTATCAGCCACAAGCCCAATTAGCTCTTTTTATGCAGCTTATCAGCATGCTTTCTCATATAAAATAGTTAGATGTAAGTTCAGATCACACTTACAGCACCAACATTTCTCTTCTTCCAATGTGCCACATCATAGACTTACTAAAATGTGCTTTTATTGATCAGTAGACAGTAGACTTGTAAGGATATGAATATTTACAGCACAGTTATGACATTATTTCATGTACTGTCTGTACTTTACTTTATTTAAATGTCCAGAAAAACACAATTTAAATCAGTTAAAGAACAAATGACAAATACAGAGAAAACACAAAAAGAAAAAGAATAACAAAAAGAAACTAGCTTTTCAGGAAAATCTCTATTATTAGCTTGAATCGGGCTTTTAAGATAAAATAAGCACATAAGCTTATTCCTGTTATTTTCTCTTTCTCTATCTTTTGTAAATATTTTTCTGCATTATAAAACTTCAGTAAATACTGTCTTGTTTTGCAGTTCATTTTGGTTTTCTTTACAGTTCTTTATGACTTCTGTGATCAATCCTTGACATACAGCAAGGTGGTTTAGTAACAGCCTGATGTGCCATATGACTTCCTCTCATTTGTAATCATTCTTTCATTCTTATGTTTGTCTCAGCACAGTGGTTAAATAAAAAGATAGTCTGAATGAACACTGAGCATTATGGTCCTTTTTGTAGTTGTCTGCATGTCTATTTCAGCCTACAGTAAATCACAAGGTATTGTACCTTGTGTTACCTTCAGAACAATTGGCACCATTAATGAAGA